CCAACGGAACGGCTGGGCCCACTTCCAATCCATCGCTCGCGATGCGATCCATTGGCAGCTCCAATCCGCAGACGCCCATTCCATTAAGAACACGGAGTACTCTTTCGATGGCGTCATCCAGAATATCACATTGTACGTTGTACTCCAAGGAATCCTACAGATCGACAACGTCGCTGCGTCCTCGTACGAGGATATCGACGTCGTAGCGAGTTCTATCACCAAACTATGGGCGCTATCCAAGAAAACCGAGCCTATCCCCCCACACCTTCTCGAGGAATTGACGATCCGCTTGCGCCGCCTCGTACCAGACGAAGAAGAGTTCCCCGCACCGCTTAATTTTATCGTGCCGACTTGGGAGACGCTCTGGAGGGTGGTGGCGACGACCGTCGCGTATTCCCATGATTCCGACGAGATCCAGCAGGCGTTCCAGACGTTCAACGCCTGCCCGAAGGACGACACGTATCGGGCGAGCGGGATGGGAGCGCGGTCAACGTGAGGGGCGTCGTAACGGAAGCCCTGCGGCTCAATCCACCGTCGAAGCGGATTGGGAGGCGAAGGCCGCCATTGGTGCCCGCGTTCCTCGCGGCGTGGGTCCCGCAGACGATCGTGAAAGCGGACGTCGAGGCGCTGCTACACTGCGGTATATGGGGCGCAGACGCCAAGGCGTTTCTTCCGGGTCGCACACGACCGGATGGGCTGCTGGGCAAAGAGAGGCGATGGCGTTCGTGTTCGGCATGGGCCGCTGCGCTGTATTGCGGCATCGTGGGCGCCTGTTGCTGCGGCGGTTATTGCGGGCGTGGTACTCGAAGAGTATGCAATACTTCCAGGAAAGAATATCGGCGAGCGTGAAGGTTGGGTGGGCTGGCGGTTGAAGAAAAGGATGCAAGCATGTAGATAGATATATGGTCACGGAGTGAATCGAATTTGTGTTTTGTACTACCACCATAGTACTCCAGTGATGCTTGCAGCATAGTTGCTTCAGCTGCTTGGAGTTCAATCATGCTGAACATGTCCAGTTTGAAAGGGGGAGAAGAACGATGCGGTTATCATGTTCTGCCAATTCGTTTAATTCCGACATTACAATCTCGTATGGCCGCCTTCCCAGTTTAGGGTCCGTTGGTTTATGAATAATGATCGCTTCAAATGCGCTGGAAAGGAGAAGAGGGTCCGTTCGCACCGTTTTCCATTCGTCGGCATGAATCTCCGATTTTATTTCAGATAGTCTAAGATGATGAAGGGTAGGCGCTAGGGGTAAAACTTTCTGTAGCAGAAATGTAGGAGAGCCAGAGGACGTAAGCCAGAGATGCTTCAGAGATGGGAATTGGACATTTTGGTCGACCAGAGTTGTCGATGGTTCTAGAGAGCCGTGTATTACGAGTTCTTCCAGTAGTGGAAGACCAATGGGCAGAGGACAAATGGACGAAAGAATACGAAGAATACGTGGACGATCTGGACACATGGTGCAATTGCGGTCAAGATACGTTTAAAGGCAGCATACACGTCCATCCTGCGATGGTATTCTGGGGCAATGGTGCGCGGTAGGATGGCCGTTTCTCGTGAATGAGCTGAGACGAAGATGCATTTGACACGCCGTAAATGCTCCGGGGTGCGTTCTACGAGGTCGGCAAAAGCATAAAGCTGGGCATGGCCAATGAGAGAGACCGATTGAAGCTTATAAGGCTTCGATGTTTCGTGTGTGAACTTGGAGACTAGAGACAGAGATCTACCCGTCCGCCCATCGTCGAGGCATGCAAATGAGTAGATTTCGCCGCAAATTTCTGGTGGACATCGGTCCATTGACTGTCGTCCAGAGCTGCCAGAGTTTGAATATATGGAGGCCCCGGGAGCAAATCATGCTTACCTGCCTGAATTTCGACAGGGTCTGTGGATATGCCACTGGTGGTGGTAGTAGTAACGACGACAGTGGCCTTTGAGTTTGCAGGCCTTTGTTGTCGTCGTCGCCATGTGATGCCGGCCCGAATTGAATGGGGCAACGTTTTCGACGATCGATCAACGAGTGGCCCAGTGCGTATATAACGGCGATTGGCGCTTGACATCTCTTGTTTTCTGTCCTCCACCATGTCCAGCTTCTCTCCCCGCGCGATTCTGGATGAAAAATGCTATGATTTCATGGCACCCACAGACGATCTGACCCATATAGACGAACTCGCCCGACTCAAGATGGAGTTAGCGATCTTGAAGAACGCGGTCAGTTCCTTTTGTAATCGACAGATCAGAAATCTCACCTCAACACGCCTTTAGAACCCGTTCCTTGTCGCAGAGATAGCCCTGGAGCTTCAAATAGAACGAATGCGCGTCGCCGAGGCTATGAAAGCTCGTGATTCTGCTCTTAATCGTCTTTGCGATGCATATGTGTCCATTCGACAGAAAAACGAAATCATCGAGCGCATGCAAGAGGAAAGAGAGAGTAACGGAGCATCTCCTTTCCCTACACATCTCATTCGAGTCAGAGACACGGTCGAGATTGATCAATTAAAGGCGCATATAGTCACTTTAGAAGCTACTATTGAAGAACTCCGATCCGTCGTGTCTAAACCAACAGATCCGCCCCCTTGCTATGAAGAAAACATCCAAAAGGTCAGCCCTCTTTTTTGAACGTGAATTATCACTCAAAATCTCCATAGAAACTACTAGTCGACAGGGATATTCAGACAGACGAATCCTCGCCCGTAAATAACTTCCTGGAGATCATATCCGGGGAGGCATCGGTACGCTTTGACCTCTCCCAAGGCTCGCATATATTCATTGAAAATGGTATATTCTTCCGCAGGCCGACGATCCACAAGAGCTCGTCAAGGCTAGGAACGCAGTACTTGCGGATATCCCCCTGCCTGACAGTCCTCCCGATGCGACATTGGCTGCGATCGTTTTTCCGCCTCCAGTTACACTGCATGAGTTTTTGAACTTGGCACCTGCGCCTTTGAAAAATGCGTAAGTCGCCCGATTTATGCGGTCTTGGTCATGTATTTGACCTGTGTACAGGTTGTCGACCTATCGAATTTTGCAGAACACTACCACTACTTGGTGTCCTGATCGAGAAGAACACGGATTTATGTACGTGCCCGCTTTCAAATGCAGTACGAACCCCAAGATTGCGACCGCACACCGATGGACGGCAGTCGATCCTGTCGGGAAGATGAACAAGCCCACAGGTGAGGTTGTTTCCGAATTAAATGCTCGACCTTTATTTAAGGATGCTCCGTAGAATGTTTCTATCATAAAGACGGGGTATGGTATTATGCTGGCTCCTACAAAGCCTTCAAAATGGACACTCTGTCGACCAAGGAATGGAGCCAGTTGGCTTCGGAGGTATGTGCTTTTATACAGATAGGCTTCGATTATTCATTGTTTTTTAAAGGTGACCTCAGCTATCGTAAAGGAGACCATCTCGGGGCGTAAGAACAGCTCGCCACAGAACACTTATGAGACTTCGCAGCTCTATGCCTCTGGGGCCCTCAAAGTCGTTTGCATTGGCCTACAATGTGTCGGATTCAATCAGGACATATATAAAGCTATACTCGAGCATGCGGCGCATCTCACCGAGACGAAGTGGAAGCCACTAATCGCGCTCGCGGCTGTTGGTAGTCCCAGCTCGAATTCTGTGGCTGGTACTGGCGCTCTACCTACTAGCGCTGCTGCGAAGACGCCCAAGACACCTGGGGTTCCCCGCCATGTTCAGCGTGCATCAGCTACCGCTAGTGCCGTAGGGAGTCCTATTAACTCGCAGGGCCCGCCAGCTGTATCGCAGATGCCCAACACTTCCACTACTTTCGGGGCTGGGATCCCCGCCTTTCCTTTAGGGACGAACAAACCTTCTATCTGGAACGTCGCTGCGAATGCTGTTGGTCCCTCTCTTGCTGCTTCTGGGGGTGTAGCTTCTCTTACTGCGTCTCCCTCACCTTTGTCCGCTACGAGCAAGATCTTTGAAAGTTCAAGGGGCCCCATAACTGGTGATACTATTGCGAAGCGTTGACTGATGCGAAGGCTTTCAACGTTCTCCTTCTAATGGATCTCTGTTTCGTAAAACGCTCATTCTACTCTCTCATTTGGATTCCAAGCACTTTGCGCGCACTGAAAATTTATGAATACCCGCCACAATCACGATCATGAATACGGTCTTTTCTACCTTACGATTTACTTATCAGAGCTATGCCATCTGCCATGCTATCCGACAAAAGTAGTCCAATTCAGCTACCGGATCCACCTTATGCCTCTTGTTATGGACTGTCTACATTCTTTCTGAGTACGTTTCTGTGTTTGACCATTGTCCTATCTTACGTCCGATGTATCTTTGTAATAAATCATTGTTGTACTGTAATGTAATAGTTGTGGTTGTGGTTCCATAGATCTATCAAAGCTGAGCGTTGAAGCCTAGACAGACACCCCATGGAGCTTGGGATCCGGAAGGGCTCTACCATCACAAGAGGACTGGGTTGAGCCATTCCTCATTGGAGGAGTCCAGGTGCAGCTGAATGAATTGTTACCCGAATTCGTCCCTTTAATCCCTGTGGACTTACATTGCGCCCCGGATGCATTTTCACTCGCATGGTCAATCTTGCAACTTCACCGAGAGGAAGTGTACTGATTTTCAGTGCCACCTCGCACATTAAGATTCACTTCCTAATGCTAAATGGGGATCTTGTCTTTATGTATGACTTGAATTCATCCGTAGGCTTTCTTAATGTGAAAAAGAATTCAGAAAAGGAATATATAATCCTGAGTCACTCGCCTCGCTGTCAATGTTTTGACAGATTAACTAGAACATAATGAGAATTCGATTAAATACAGGAACCTTGTGTGGCTACGCCTTGCTTTGTTCAACCTGTTAACCTGTTGAAGGGTAAAATACGACTTCAACGACGACAATTCCTCAACGTTCAACAAGCGATTGACTATAAAAGTTGGATGATTCGGACCGACTTACTGGAGTCAGGCCCTACGTACCTCGTCAATACTTCGCGATAGAAAAAAGATTACTATGCCCCCCTGCAAGGATCGAACTTGCCACCTCAGGCTTGCGTAACACATGTTACTCATATAGAGATATGAGACCTGCGCTCTAACTAAATGAGCTAAGGAGGCATAAGACGAAATTTGAGGATTTTCAGAGGAAGACTCTGCAACCCGAATCGGGTCATTCCATAACAATGTTCCGTTGAGCTGCGCCGGCGCCTAAATTTTACACCATCCTCCATCCTCCATGGCCGTGTGGCGAAATGGCATCGCGTCTGACTACGATTAACATTCGAGGCGTATCAGGAGATTGCAGGTTCGAGACCTGTCTCGGTCATAGTTTTGTCAATTTCTTCCGTTCAGTTTTGCAAATTATCAAATTGGAAAGCTCAAAGAGAAGTTAGAACGTAGAAGACTACAAGAAGTCAAGGACTCGAACTTCGAGCAGTGTGCCACTCGCAAGCAGAAATTGGCATGCTCTGGACTCTGGAGTATGGTCACTGAGAACTCCAAACTAAGCTGACTTCGTCGATTTAATTACTAGTAGTACTGCCTAGTAAATTTGGCCATACCCAAACGCTATAATTTTCGTCGTGTAAATAAGCGCGCAACACAAGCTCAGCATCTCCGCAGACCTCATGGAAATGGACATTTACACGGAGAAAGTAAAATTGGAGAATTCCGACAAACACAGGTAATACAATTATTCAACAACTATTTGTACAACGACCACTTTACATTGAGCAGAATTTACGCTTGAGCGCCGAGTTCTCAGCGCCGATCACTTCTTGTGGCCCAGTACATTCTTAATGGTTGAAGCGATCTTTTCATCCTTAGCTTGCTCGATAGCGGATTCGTTGTTTTGGGGGCCCTGCTTCAGGACATGCTCCTGGAAGAGGTCGATTGCTGTTGGCGACATTATTAGCACGAATCACAAATCATAGCGATCGAAGTAAAAAGTCCAGGATCGCGCACCCTTATCCAACGTATCCTCATTGGCCTCGCCCTTCGCCCCTCCCCCAAACGCACTGTTGATCTTATCTCGAGTCCTTGCGGCTTGGCGGCTGCTCCCCCTGGCCAGAGATCGCATGCGAGAGCTTGTCGAGGATATTCTGGTCCTTCGGCGGCGGCGGCGGCGTCTTGTGCCCGAAATCGCGTCCCCGATCTTGCTGAAATGTCCTCGTTTTTCTTTGGTGCGGGCGCGGGCGTGGGTTGGTGAGAATCGCCGGTCAGGGCGCCGCTGAGCTTTCCTAACACGGACTCGTGTCTGGGTGGGCGGGGCGGGGGTGGCTACAGGAAGAGGTGCGGGGGTCGAATGAGATCCACTCAGTGCGTCTCCGATCTTGTCAAAGACCGAGTCGTGTTTAGCTGGGGCTGGGGCAGGATGGGCGACGATGGCGGAGGAGGGGTGGGATGGGATTTATTCAGCGCGTCGCTGAGCTTATTCAGTACGCTGTCATGTTTGGGGGGAGCAGTCACCGGAGGGGATGCATGGTGGTCAGATGTGTTCTTGTCATCCGAGAGAGCAAGATTCTGGAGATTTTTGAGGAGATCCATGGCTGTTGAAGTGGGCGATGGAAGGGAGGAATGCGAGACGTCAGAGGGCTATTTAAGCAGTGCGATGATCATGTATCTCTGCCGAGCACCGACAGGGAGAAACGAGGCACTAGTGAATGCACTCCATCAGTTGGAGATTATCTTTCGCGACCGGGCTTGGCATCTTTGGAATGGAAGGATCAAGCCAGTTAGACCAAGTTAACAATGGGGGACATAAGGCTTCGTAAAGTCCCTGCTACATAGAGTAGAGAACAGACGATCTATATCGCCTCTCTTATCCATCGATAAAGTCTGTCGCTGTCTTCTCTTTGTAGTTAGAGACTTGATCAGGATAAGGCCCATGAAAGCTTGACAAAGGCCGTTCAGGGGTTGGAATGCTGTGCAAAATCTTAACCCCAACATACATTCGGATCGATAGAGGATCCGAGAAGGTTGTTTACGGCTGAATGGTAAGCCATTCAACTGGACCCCAAAAGCTTACAGAACTGATCCAAAATTCTTTGCGATATACATATTAAACGACCTGTTGAGCCTTGAGGCCTGGATTAAACGGTATGCTAGCAGGCTTTAAAGGCGTATATCCACACGCACACTAAATTTGCCACCAGAGAAGGGAAATGGGCAAAATTAGCACGTCTTGAGAGTTAATAGTCGATAGCAAAATTGGTCTGAAGGTATTCTCGAGAAGAAATAATATGACGTCGGACACACTGATGATAAGAACCTCATGCAGCTCGAGTGCTGGTCGATATTTGAGTATGTTATAGACATGTTCAATAGATTGGAAGCAATGTGTCAAATTGATACAAAGGAAAGTTAAGCGCTGAGGCCTGGGGTTTAAGCGCCCGTCTTTTGTGCGAAATTTGTAAGGCTGGATCTCCATTTTTCTCGACCGTTTTCCGTCACCCGCAAACAAGAAGTTAATGTCCAGTCTGTCTAATATTTTTCTGCATGAAAATGACCACATGATTGTCTATCTCATGATTCCAGCAATATCGTCAATGAAGCTTCATTATACCTTGCGAAAATCTTGATTACTTAAACTCAGAATAATAGTATCATGCATACATATGTAAGGCCAGCATCTTGTATTAATCATCCGAGGAAGACTCAGAGGCATCAGGATTATCAGACGATGATCCAGACGAAGATTCAGATTCAGGCTTTTTGGCTAGCTTTTCTGTGACGTGGCTTTCACAGTTTTCACTGCAGAACAACTTTTGACAAGAGTTTGAACGTTGTTTTGCTCTGCCGCCTGCCCCGCGCTCGTTTTTCCTGTTGTTGCTTTTGCCTTTGGTTTCTTCGATGAATGCCTGGGCATAGTTGCGGTTTCCAAAGTGGATGAGCGTTCCTTCAGTGAATGCCAGTTTAAGAATAGTTCATAAAATCATAACCACAGTCTGACCAGTGTAAATGTATACTTACGCGCTTTAGCGATGTTTGGAGTGTTCTCGGTGATGACGTGGTGTCGACATGGGATGATTTGTCCTATTTCATGATAAATGTCCCCATAATCGTTAGACAGCCCATCAGAAACATATCTATTCGCTGACACTCACCAGAGTTGCGTCTTTCTTCAGCTCGATAATTTCATTTTTCGCTATCACAAGCTGTTGTCTCAAGACGTTATTCTCGTGTTCGAAGTCGAGTAATTGAGTTTGTAACTTGGCTACGTCATCAGTCAACTTTGCAACTTCCTTGATCTTCGTCGCATAGTCCACACGAATTCGTGATTGAAAACCTTGGACACGTTGCTCCGTGTCAGATAAATCCAAAATATCCATAGTTTTGAGCAAGTTTTGAGAACCAGATGAGAAAGGGTACGGGTTTCGGAGAGAGCGAAGGTGAACGTGGACGAACTCGAACAATGAGGCGAAATGTATTGCCAGGAAAGTTGAAGCAAGTTTGACAGAAAACGTTGCGCAGGTGGCGCGCGTCTAAAAAGCCCTGCCAATCAAAGCACAACAGCAATCAAAGTTGTCGCCTCTTCGTCACCAACTTTCAGCTCTTCAATCCTATTTACCTCGACTGTGCAAGCCAAATCACATCCCCAAAACTTCTGACAACCGCGGCCACGATAGATTCGCATATGCACTGCTCGCGCTCCTGTTTATTCAAGGTATCATGGGAGTAAATGGTCGAATTTTGGTAATGGAGACGCGTCGCTTTTGTGGATTTGCTGCAGCTTCATCCTGGCATCGTGGACCTGTCAAGTCCGGCTCTCGTGCGCCTCTACGACATGTTCCGCCTTGGCTGAAGATACGCATCTCCTGGCATTGAATTATCTGACAGCTCGAAATTTCGTGCCTAGGCCTCATCTGATTGATCACACTGGCTTTCATTCACTCTGGGCAAAACCTGAGAGGCTCGCAGCTGCCTCCGGCGCTAGACCGGTGACCGTTCTATCGTCTACGTCGGGAACTATAGAAAGCATCTGCTGAGATCCACGATGTAGCGAATTTGCAAAAACGACCATTTCGAAATATGCGTTGAAGGTGAAGAACATCACCACGCATCAGAGCGACACGGTACTCGGTGCATGTCTTCCGATTAACAGCGATCCTGCAGGAAGATTTTGATTATGGGCAGGATCTATTTATGTCATCGCTGGATTCTTTTCGATCTTGGCAGTCGTCGAGTACCCATTTGGGCTCCAGCGGAAAGGAACACGACATGGGGCGGCCGAACTGTATCAATACACTATCACGAAAGGGATACCATTTGACCGTCTTTCGCTCTAGTAACCCTCTCTCGTGTCGTATAAGATGGGGGCGAATGACAGACATGAAATCCAGCAGCCAGGCTTGGCGCACCCTCCCCAAATCTGTGGCACTGTTGACAATCGGACAACATGGTTTCATCTATCCTTTTGACGCTTTGCCTGGTTTCTGGGGAGCGATCGCGAGCGCGATACCTGCTCCCAGCAATTCTACGGAAACCCCTCTCGAGCGCCGGGCCCTAGCTACTGTCTATTCCAAGTGCACAGTTCCTAAAACTGTGGCGCTTACTTTCGTACGTCTGTGCAAAATTGGCTTCAAAAATTCTATATTCACTGATAACTGAAAGGATGATGGCCCATATATCTACATGTATGTTTCTCTCAAGTATTGGACGGGTTTGACCAAATAATAATTAAATATGCACAGGAATGACATTGTGAATGCTCTTGGGGCAGCCGGTGCCAAAGGCACATTTTCGTTAGTACGTGACCAAGTCAACCCTCTCATTCATCCTGTCTGATAAATCCCAAAGATGGCAATAATTGTAAACGACCTTTCTTAAAGGTGATGACGGAGCTGACCACCTTTTGAATTCAGATGCATGCATTTACAACGACGATGAGGTGAAGCGTGTCAAGTACGCTTATGACCGTGGACATCAACTGGCTTCACACACATGGGCGCACAAAGACTTGACTACTCTCTCATGGGATCAAAGTACGCATTCTTTTCGAATTTTGGGCTTTGTTAACTAGGTCATAATATCAGTCCATGATGAGATGTGGCGAGTGGAACGTAAGCATTCAATATTATACATACCGCACAGTTTAGTGAACCAATGATATGATTGCAGAGGCTCTTGTTAGGATCACAGGCGCCTATCCAGCATTCATGCGTCCTCGTGAGCACTTCGTACCGTCTTCCTTCAACCCTTCTGATTTAATGATTTTTAAGCTTATGGTAATTATAATAACCTCGTTCGTGAGGCCGCTGCAGCCCGCGGGCAAACTCTCGCTGTATGGGACTTTGAGTGAGCGTATCCTGCTCTCTATCATACATA